AACCCAGAACTCTAACCTTCGATCTTTACTAACTTGCAGTAATAAAATTTGGTTTTCCGGGAATATATTAGATGAAGAATATATTTTAATGAATATATATTTAGATTAAACCCAAATCAGGCCATAATAAGTAGACATAAATGAGTTTCAAAACGGGGAAAACGAATTTCTAATTGAATTTCCCAAACTGTTATTGCCACCTCAACTGTTGCTAAAGTTTGACGATGAGGCGCTACCAAAGTCATTCCACACCTTGTAAAATCAACAAAAAGGCAGTCAAGAACCAGGACCGAAGAACCAAGATGCAAGATGCAAGAACCAAGAAGCAGCAAAGGCAACAGATATAGATGGTTAGATACACGGCTAGGGCAAGATACGTAGATACAAAGATACAGAGAGATACATAGATACAGAGAGGGAGCGTGCAATTTGCAGCCTAGAAAAATAATTGCATCTGGAAGTTGCAGGGGGCGAAGAAGGGTTGCTCTTGCAGCAGCTACGAAAGAGCCAAAGAGCCGGGTTTTTAGCCCAAGTCGCGACTCATTCATGACGACTACGACGACGACGACGATGCAAGTGCAAGTGCAGCTGTAACATTAACATGCAACCAGACGATGATGTTGTTGTTGTTGTTGTTGCTGCCACTGCCGCTGAGATGCAGATGCATTCAACGTCATTGTTGTTGCAGTTACTGCAGCAGCAGCAGCAGAAGCAGCAGCAGCAGCAGGTGAATTGCACGATTTTCAATGCAAAAGTCAAGAGCGCCAACGGAAAAAAGTCGTTAGCCAAGTTTTATGCAGGCTGTGTTGTTGCCACTATTTGTTGCCGGTACTATGACTCTATACCTAGACCGTCGCATGTGGCCAGGCTCTACTTTAGCTGCCAGCTAGTTTGCTAGCTAGCTCCTTCTGACCAGCTGCAACCACTGAGTGTTTGGTAGCAGCTTCCTTTTGGCATATGCAGATGCCTCCTGCCAGGGCCTAAAAAGGCCCATGGGCCAACTAGAATAAGAACGAGAATGAAAACGAGACAGCTGTTTCCGTTTGTTAAATGTTTGCCGGATTGGCAAGAGATTGCCACCGTCGACATTGATGGTCCTGAATTTGTTGTGGCATTAAATGTGTCTTCTTCCCCTGGCTTATGCACGTCAGCTAATTATGGTTTACATATATATATATATCTATAAAGATATATACAAATATATATATACAGACAGTAAGTTTCAATTAAATGGGGAATTAAAATGGCAGTAGCTTCTGTGAAAGGGGCTTCTTCGGCCGGCTTAATGAGATTTTGTTTATTAACTAGAAAATAAAAGTCTAATCAGTTTCTAACTACTAACAAGCCTTTATTGATTAGCTATTTGGTAATCAAGATAGAAGTGGGTTTTTAAGAACAAATAAAGTGTGAAAATTGTTTGTTAGAATGAAAGTCTATCGATAAGTATACTAATCGGGAAATAAAAACCAAAATAAAGAGGAAAAAGTGGATATTATTAAGTTTAAAAATACATTTAATATAAAATGAATGATAAAAACGTATAAAAGATACATTTTTACATGCTTTACTTTCCTCTGCTGTTCAAGTTTTATGTTTAATGCCTACGCAAAGCACTGTTCTAGCTTTAGTTAAAAGTAAAACCGATCCACGTGTGTGGCCAGCGCCAGTTTGATCGTCTAGATTTTCCTCTCTCGCTTTTCCACTTTTCTCTTCGCCATCGTTTTCGAGTAAAGTCAGCAAAGTTTTTTCGCTTCATTTTAAGTTTTTTTTTCACAGTTTTTTCTTCTGTTATTTTTTGTTAATAAACGTATTTAATGTTCACACTTCTGTCACGTTGTTGTTTTAGTTTCTGTTTACGCAGCATTGCATTTGTATTTACAACACCTCTCTTATTATTTTTATTGTCGTTATGGCAATGTGTGTTATCTTTCGACCAGATGGTAAACACTTTTTGAGTGTCCATTATCTAATAAAACAAAAACAAAAAAAACAACGAAATTAAGGCCCAAAACAGCTGCAAGCCAAGGCCAAATGAAATTTGATCAGCCTTGGAAATTTCGTTTGCCAATTAAATTAGCTAAGCTTCGAAAGGCAAAATAAAAAAAACGAACTTTAGTCTAGAAAACATAACAAAAAAATCGATAAAAAATTAAACAAATAAATCCCCGAAAAAGAAATAACGCAACCAGATATTAATCACAAAGAAAATAAACAGAAATGATTTCATTTTGTGGCATATCGCATGTTGCAAAGTCCGAAATTTATATTTTAACCTCCTTCGATTCAGGGGAAATCATTTTATATATTTTACGACTCTATATAGAGTGCAGTTCTGTGTTATCAGCTGTAACTATTTTGTGGAAATAAATAATATATTATAGTAGGAAAAAACTGAAATTGCGATAATTTGAACTATGCGTTGACTCGACGACTCGAATCGTGAACAACTATCAATATATATATATATATATATGGCTTGTAAAGAACAGTCTCTGGAGTATATATATATATATTTCCACACTTCCCAGCCAGTAAAAATTTTCGTTCGTTGCGCAAATTTTCAGCAAAATAAAAAAAGAAGAAAAATACAAAATAAAATCAATTTCGTATGCCTTGATAAGAAAGCGCAAAATGTTTCCGCTTTTTGTTCTTGTTGCTCGCTTTTTTTTTTTGTTTGCACGATTGCATGACAACTTATAAGAAAGTATATATACTTATATTTTTTTTTTGTTCAATAATTTCTTGCTTAAATTTATTGTTGTTGCATTTTCGTTGAGATTTCGCCACGTATCAGGCTCGATGAGGCGAGCCAAAGCTGTCGTAATTTGGGTCAGAAACGGCTGCGTCAGGGCCCCACTGATAAGCTCTCCGCAGATTCTGATTGTTCAGATTGGGCAGAGATAATACATTAGCTGGCACATAGTTGTGAATCAAATTGGCAATCTTGGCAGTGCTAAAAAAAAAAAAAACTCCACAGAAACGTTTGCTTTTCACGACTTCCGGTTAATGATAGCAAATAAAGCAAAAGATGTTTTTTTTTCTGAATGAATTTTCATGCAGATATGTAACAGATATCCATATCTTAGGAATTTACAAAAAGTATCTTTTGGCTGGTAGGTATCTATATCTATAGGGAGAGCACTCTACAGTTGCTTGAACTTCTGTCCTTAAGTATTGCTCAATGCAAGTGTACTTGCGACGCGATCGCATTGTGACGCCCCTGATAGGCCCCACCCTCTGGCACAAGCACAGACCCCCACCCATCGCCGCCCATTGTGTATCTTTGTTTACACATTTCGCTTTCGTACATCGCTCTGTCACTGAAGGACAATGTCAATGAGGCACTGCCTATATATATATGAATCGTTATGAATATATATCCATATACCTATATGATCTTGTAATTTTTTGGGGTTTACCGAACGATAAGGGAACGTAGAACTTGAAATGGATGAGAAAGGGTATTCAAGTCCACCTTGCATATTAATCAAATGTATTTTTTAGTCAGAAGGAAACTCTTTGGTGATATCTAGAACTTCAAAATCATAGAATGAATGTAACTTTTGATGTAATCTTTAAAGTTTCGTGATTTTCTTCTTAAAAGTTCTTAAAAGTTGTTTGCTTATTTAACAAATAATCAGCATTAAGGCTGCATTAGTTGGTAACCCCTAGAATTAAAAGGAACTTAACTTCCTGTTATCTTTAAAAATATGTATGATAAGCGATCGTAGAACTGAAAAACGAAAGTGAAGGATACTAATGAATTTACCTTTTAAGCAAAAAAAGAAAGATAAGAAAAAGAGAGACATAATTTTTCATCAATCTTTCAAACTAATTAAATTGATAAAAAAATCTAGAAAAAAATGTAAATAATCTAAAAAAGAAGCATAGATAATTAAACATTTCCTGCTTAGTTTTTGCTGATGTGGCCTGGCCATTAAACGATTAAATATGTTTTATTAACTGATTGATTTATTGCGCATCAGAACTAAGGATAGCTCTATTTCGAACCTAAGCTAATCACAAACTGGTTAATTATATATGACTCATTAATTATAATTAAGCATTAAATATATATTTTCAATTTATAGGCAACTATTTGAGAACCAATTTGGAATACGTACATATTTCATAGCTGCTGATGTGCATAGCATCACATATATTTGTCTTAAATTATCTCTGCCCAAAAGCCAAATTGATGTTGCAGTTGCGATGCTGCAGTTGCTGCTGCTGCGTTGGTTTTACAGCAGTTCAGGACTTGGCAACCCTGGCTTGGGTTGCTGCAGCTCCCACTACTGCTCCTTCCCGGGCTTTGTATATATAATTTGTATATACAATAAAAGTGCTTCTCTCGTTTTGGTGGGCAGCTCACACAAAAGGCAAAAATGCAGGCAGATTTTTTATTGTTGATGCAGATTTTTCATTTCCTTTTTTCTTTTTTGGGCTATTGGTTGGTTTTTATTTATTATACATATATATATATTCCTATATATATATATCTATATAGAGCACAGAGTAAATAATATGCAGCGCGTGAAAATTAAACGCGAATTTTTCTTTCGGTCGTTTTTTTTTTTTGTTATTTGGTGGAATTTCCTCTTTTTTTTTATGTTGTATGTTCAATTGTATGATTTGTTGGTGTTGTTGTTGTTGTACTGCTGCACTTCTTGTTGTTGTTGTTGTTATTGATTTGTTGCACTTTGTGTTGTTGTAGATTTTTTGACAGTTGCCCCGCGTGTTTTTTGTGTATTAATTATTTGAATTATTTTTGCTGTATTTAATTTCTGGCTCTTTGATATGTTGCATTTATATCAAAAGGCTTTTCCATTAATATATTTTTTGTATACTTTTTACGAACCTTTTTCCTTTTGCATTTAATAAAAAAACAATTCAAAAGTAATGGCTACTTTTTTAATTATTTTTGTTTTTTATTTCGTTTAACGTTAATATTTGTTTTCTTTTTGTTTTGGATTGCACTTTTTTATGTTGTTGTTTTTTTGTTTTTTTTCGTATTTTAATTCAACAGAAATTTACTAACAAAAGTGTTGCCGTTGTTGTTGTTGTTGTTGTTGTTATTGTTGTTGTATTTGTTGTTTTTGTTTAAATATCTAAAAATGTAGGAAAAATATGGAAAAACTGGTTGATAAGAGAAGAGCGAAAAGCGAGACGTGTGGCCCAAATGATCTCATTCACTGCACTGCCAAGAAAATCTCATCTTCGATAATAATCATATCTGCTGATAAATATTTAAGCAATTTTAAGAATTCTCCGATTAATTTAAAAAGTTTTTCTTTTTGTTTTATATTTCTGAAATACTTTCGATAGCCCTCTGGAGATGATTTGATTTTAAGCGGAATTCACCGAAAGCAGCTGCATAAAAAAATGAACTGAGCTGGCCAAAAATGAAATTAGCCAGCGGAGCACAGCTTCAACTTGGTTACCCCCTTAATAATAAAAAAAAAGGAGAACTTTATGCCAGCGAAAAATGCGAATAAAAAATGTATATATATATGTGAATATATATATATATATATAGAAAATTCCGCCTGGCAAGTTCTGAGCAGGAAAAAAAAAGAACGAAATGCAGCCAAAAAAATACCATTGTAAATAGTAATTTAAGTTTCGTGAGGAGATGAGGAGGATGGCAAGGGGAACGGGAGGTTGTTACCAAAAAACGTAAAATAAAATAATAAAGCAGAAAAGCTGGGCAAAAAAATATCCAAAAAAAAAAAGAAAACCGAACGGAAGGTAAGGAAAATCCAATGGTCAACTGGATGGGTAAGGTGAGGGTTAAGCTCTCGGGCAGGGGTTTTCCAATTGATGTTGCGCAGCTGCAGCTACACTTTTTTCGGCTATTTAATTTGCCATTTTTTTTTGTCTAGCATATCTGGGAGTTGATTTTTCTCAGCTCACCCCCCTCCTCATTTTTTTTTTGTTTTTTGTTCGCTCTTAGTTTTTGTTCATTATGCTGTGCGCCAAGCCCGACGGCAAAGTAAATGCCAGCAACTGGAGACTGGCGACCGACCTGGCCATTGTCATGGGCGGTGGAAAACTAAGAGTGTGGGGAGGTGGGTGGAATAGCTCTTCTGACCGCCCTGACGAAAATTGAAACTGACAAAAATTTGTTACATTTGCCTGCACAGAAAAGTTGGCGACGACGAACCACCCGAAAAAATACACACTTTATTACTGTGTACTTGCAGCTACTTCCTTGCCGCTCCTCTTATTTTCTCTTATTTCCTTCTTTTTTTTATGTTTTTTGGCTGCTTTGTTTGTTTTGTTTTACTGCTGCTGCCGCTGCTGCTGCTTCAGAAGTTTGGCTACAGTTCATTTTGTATGCTGCTGCCTTTGTGGTTTTTTTCTCTCATCTCTACGTTTTTTTTCTGCCCTTTCAATCTATTTTTTAGAATTTTTTAGCAAGATTCTTTTGGTGTTTTTTAGAGGCAAGTTTTTGGGTGCAGTGAACGAGAATCGAAGCCGGCATTTAAATATGAAATGCATGGGTTTTCCAGTGGGTTTTTTATGAGATTTTATGGGGTTTTATTAGGTGATTTTGATTTTTATTAAAAAGATTTTTGCAAGCTTGGCAAAATCTTGGAAAGTTCTTGTTTTTTTTCTTTAAAAATATTCTTGTCCCTCTTAGTTTTGATCAAGCTTTAAGTTGTATCAATATTTTGAAACAAGTTCTTAAAGGAATTTTTAATATCAGGAAATGAAAATTCGGGCGATGAAATGCGGTGAGTGATTTTTTAACTTCTAAAATTTTCTTTGAAAATATTCTTGAAAAATATTTATTCTTCAGTTTATTTTTCACTTTTCACTTAGGTTTTGGCTTGCATAAATATTATTCTTAACGCGAAATTGTTATTCAACAATGGGCCTGTTTATTATTAAGTCAGGCTCACACACACACACACTCTCACAGGCACACACATGCACAGTCACACATATAGTCAATCAACCGGAGACACGCACTTGAGCTGGGCAATGCAACTATTCAACCAAAAGACCGAAATAAAAATGCATTCTATAAAAATTTTGCGAGTGCGCGAAAAAAACTTTTCCGCATTTTGCATGACAGCGGCGACAGCGACGCCGGCAGCGAAGTTGACCGAGACAGCGACGTCGACGTCAACGGCGACATCGGCGTTTTCGCACACACACAAGCAAAAGGCAGAGAAAATAAGAGACAAGCGGCGATTGCAATTTATATTAATGACGAAAAAAAAATCAAACAAAACGCGGGCGATTGATGCCGCCGATGATTATGCGTGAAAAGCACAAAAAACAGGGCCACATGGCGTATGCTTGATATGGGAGAAAATCAAATTTTTTTTTTCGGACTTTTTTTTGGGGATTCAAAAAGGGGTTTGGAAAACCTATGAGGGTTAGGGTTTTTTTTGGGAAAACAAGTGTCACTGTTTTTGTGAGGGACACTGCGAATTATATTTCATAATTTAATTTTTTTGATTTTTGATTTTTGATAAAGAATGCATTTTTTTTTAGGTTTTTGGAAATTAGTTGCCAATTTTTCAGCTGCAGTTTTCAATACATTTTTAAGAAGGTTTTTTATATTTTCACGGGGACTATTTCATTTCATCACTTGGATTTTATGTTCAAATATTTCCTTATAAATTTTAAGATTTTTTGTTCCATTTCGCTTTTGCATGTTTTCTTAATCCTTCACAAAATTCACTAAAATTTTATTTTCTTGTTAAATTATCTGCCAATTCATATTGTAGATTTCACAGATCCAATTTTTCAGTCAATTAGTTTATGCACTTTAACCGATTTGTCGGCATTTTATCGCTGCAAGCACTGCAAGGTTCATTTTATTTTCGGTTTTTGGTAGCTAATTATAATCACTTTGTATTTTGGTTTGCCAATATCTCATATATAGTAGATATATATTTGGATATTAATATTTTTTGGCCGAAAGAATGTCGTATGTTTTATTATCAATGGCAAACGATTTTCGCCTATGGACTGCGTGTAAATGGGCAATGCGCTTAATGCTTTACGATTGATATACGCGATCGTCGGAATCGGAATCGAAATCGGAATCGGACGCTACACCTCGGAACGACTCGGGCCGCGTCCGAAAATGCGTTCCGTTGCATATCGGATGCGTTGTGTTTATGCGACTGCCGAAGCCGACTGCAAAATTATATCACAACAACACGAAGACACCAGCACAGTGCCGACTACTGACGTCGACGTCGTCGTCTCCGTCGTGCAAAAAACCAACAAAAAAAATTTAACTCACACACATACACAGTTACATGGCAGAACTGCATATTGCAAAAAACTAGAATGAGTGTCCTCTCTCTTTGAGTTATTTACACAGAGCGCAGACGCGAGAACTTTAGGAGTAACGGGGTAAGCCGCACTCACACACACACGCATAAAGAGAGGGAGAGTCAAGAGAGAGAGAGAGAGCCGAAGTGCACTGCAATTATGGCATTGCATTTCGAGTGCAGCGCGCGTTGATAAAAAAATTGCCAAGCTGCGCGACGAGCTGCCAAAAATTTGAGTCCTCCCAATGCAGCTCACTATTCCTAAAAAACCACTCTCTCATTAAAGTCACTCAAAGTGACTAATACAGTTGCAAGCCTAGAACAATGCACACTAATACACGTGGAACTATTTATTCACCATATTTTTTGTGGCGCTTTTTTTAATGCACGCACACAAGTAAGCGGAATGCACTTCTGCCACTGCGCTGCCGGCGTCACAGCAATTAGCTGTCGTTTTTGGGCGAATTTCAAGGGGGCGTGGCGGCAAGGGATAAATTATGGGAAAGGCAGGAAGAGTATATGCACTCAAAAAGGATGTTTTAAAGGATATTTTGAAAAGAGGAAATATTTGGTAGAATATATTTTTAATTTTATATTTTAAAACTATTTTTAAAAATGTTTTAATAATTCGATTTTCGGCAAAATATTATAGACAGAGTAAGAATGTAATCTACACATTTTACTTAAAAATTCATCAAAATATTAAAAGAAAAATAAATTAACCTTTAAGCCTAAATATTAGCCTGAAAAAAATAAACAAAGCGTAAGAAAGAACTCACTCGAACGCATTAACCCACCAAAATTGGGCTTGAGAAACTGCATTTCCTGCTCATTAAAAGCGGCTCTCCTGTGGTGAGTTTCCCCTTCCCCCAAAACTCAACTCATTTCCAAGCGACTCACTCGAGAACTTTGCTCTTTCCCTCTCTCACTCGCTGAGCAGCATGTAAATGAGCTTAAATGATTTCTTATTTTTTGTTTTTTTGGTTGCATTTTTTGTTCTTCTCCAAAAATGAACTTTGCCTTGGCTTTTGTTTTGCGACTAAAATTTAGTTTCAGGTGATAAGTCACTCTCTTTTTCGGCTGTAGAGACTTTGTTCTTTTTCGGGTGTCTCTTTCTAAGTGCGCAGTTAGATTGTCCAAAATGGTGGAACGTGCCATTCGCAGCGACTCTGTGGTGAGATGACTAATTCCAAATACAAGATAAAGAACGTTTCCCGAACTGCGCACTTCACTTCTTCATCTGCTGAAAATCTCCACAAACTTTTCATTTCACTTCAAGTTAAAGTCTAGTACTACTATAGTTTACTACAATACAACAAGAATGATTATATATATATATATATACAGATATATATGACAATTTGTAGTTCGGTTGTAAAACGCCAACGACCTGACTGACGCACGTTCAAGGTATTATCTCATATGGGAAAGAGTGAGGGAGCTGGCGAGTAGACATAGCCCTTGCTCACCACTACAATGAAATGAATGCAACTAACACAACAACAACAACAACAACAAACTGTAAATTCAGTGACAACAATGAGAGCGCAACAGTTGCAAAGTCATGTGGCAAAAGCAGCCACGGAAAGCACATTGACTTGCCTCGTTTATGGTGGAAGATCTCAATATCGTAAGATCGGTGATTTATAGGTTATTTACATGACTTGTTTATTGGATTAAAAAATAATTAAATATATTAATTTGTAGCTTAAGTTAATGATTTAGATTTACATCACAGGATCAGGCATAAAAGTTTATACGAAAAGTGGAAAACTTGGCACTTCTGGCTTTATAAAGTTTATTAAAATAACAAAATTAGTTTAAGTTTTCTCAGAAAGAGATACGAGAGTATTTTTAAACCAAGAAAATAAAGTTTTAAAGATCTTCTTATAAAATATATTTCAAGTATCAGCAAATATAAAAATATTAAAAGCAAGAACTTACATCATTACACATTGTTCCCTCTTAAAGATAAGTAAACCTGAAACTGTTATAATAACCGACTAACTACTGTAGTTACAAAGATATTCCTTTGTATAGATATAGATATATATATATATATACTCTCCCTGATAGTAGATGAACACTTTTTGATCAGCACTCGCTTATCTTTCCGCCTTTTGTTTACATTTCAGCAACAGGCAGACCCAACTCATTTTTCGTTGCCACACCAAAGTTATTGGGAAACTCGATTTGATTTTGCCTTTACAACATCTCCAATCAAATCAGCTTCTATATATAAAAAATATCAAGCTCATATATATATATTATATACATTTTTGCAATATGGCCAGCGTATTGATAATGTTCTTTAATCAATTACACTCGCTTTTTTGTTTTCGCGTTTTTATGGGAGGGCAATCTCGTTATAAATTCAATATATATACTATATAGTACATGCAAGGAACGTATTGGAAATTTCTTAGATTTTGCTATTGCAATTTGTTGCAACGATAATCGGTTATCAGCTCGCATTGCATTGCCGCAAGTGAGTGCAATTGGAGCAAATGATTCAGCCCCGGGGTGTGTTCTTTGTTGTTGGCTCTTGTGTGGCAAGAGCGATTGATTCGAATGGTCGACGATCGAAATCAAAAATTCTGACGAAAGTTCAAAGATAAATAAAGCTTCCTGGTAAAATTTATTATGTAGCTTAGGAAAAAAACATCCAAGATGTGAAGTAATCCTTATCGGGCATTGGGTTCTTTAAATTTCCCAAGAATCATCATTGGACGCTTGAAGTTTTTCCGCTTTTATATCAGTCTTTGAAGTAGGAATGCAAATCTAGTTCTTTGTTTACTCATTTAAAGATCAATTTGAGTTTTTCAAAATGCTTTTAAGCCTGACAGACTTATAAATTTAAATCGAATGATTAAGAAATGAAAAATATCATTTAACATTGCTCATATTTTAAGCTTCTTAGATCGCTTTAGAAAGTATTTTTTTACGCCGCCAAAAACCAATCATAGACCGTAGATCGCAGCGTAACGACTGCGACATATCACGTATACGCATCGTGGCTTGCTGTTGGCAATTGCACTCTCAACTTGAATTTTGTTGTATTCTTGGCACTTTTTGCTTCCGCATAAAATGTCGCACAACAAGTTGTTGCCGTTGTTGCCATATAAACGTCAGCCGTTTAACCCACAGTTACCCGCTTAACCCCTTCTACGCTACCGCAACAGCCGCCGACGGACACCTTTTACCGTTTCCAACGCCATTTTGGTAAGACCTCAAGGCGAACTTGTCTCGCTCGACTCTCCAGTCTCATTCATTCTTTAAGCGTGTTTATGTTGGCAATTTCGTTACGTTTGATTAGTGGCCGGCAAAATGGCAGTTGACTTGCAGCAGCAAAAACAAAAACGCAAAAAAAAAAAATATTTAACTGGATTTTTGCAACAACTATTATATTGTATATCAAAGTCGATTTTTCGTATTGTCAACCTTGGGAGAGCGGAGTTAGAAATTGTGCACTTGGCTCTGGTTGTCTTGTCAATTGATTTCGTATTTCGTATTTAAACTGCAAATTTATGGCACACGATTTGCACATTAGTGCTGCCAGAACACAAAACTTAAAGCTTAATTAATATAACAAACAAATCGAATAAAAACTAGGAAAGTATGGGGAAATAATACGAAAAAATGTATTAAAATTCATGCCATTGAGCCAAAGTCTAATGCATTTTCAATGTATTTTTACAAGCAGTGTGCTGAATATTTATCGATTAGATGTCGTCTCTGTCCAGGAACCCCTCTCAGACCCCCTCTTTAGACCCCTAAAAAACCCCCTTTTTTCTAGTCCATCCCTTGTCTGTTGCAGACAAAGACGCAGCAGATAAAACGGAAGTACAGTTTGTAGTGTCCGCACAAAAGCAATTGCCAAGGAGCTGAAAGCGCCACAAGTGCCACAAGGAAAAATCCTAGAACTTTCGTATTTTCTTTTTTTTTTTACCCCAGCCTTAGAGGAAGGTGTCGATGAAAAAATTGCAGACTTCATTTCATTTTTTCGGGGCATTAAAAACAAAGTATGGGATTTTGGTGTACCGAAAGTAAATGGTTTTTCATGTTGGAATATTCTTCTTTTTGAGACTTAAGCTTAAGGTTAAAATCTGTGCGGCACCTTAATTTGATTGTCTTTGATTTGAGGAGATTTGGATTATAAATTCTCTGTAGAAAAAACAGCTTAAATAGGAAAAATAAGCTGAGGGTAGAGCTTTGCTAACAACAAGTTGTCGCCAGATGACAACTGTTGCTTCGCGTGTTTTTTGGGTGAAAGTCAAGGGTGGTGTTGGACTATAAACTTCCCCCCAAACACACACGAAAATCGCCGAAAGTGCCGCGAGTGGCGCAGCAGCCGGAAAACTCCTCACCAACCTCCCCTTTTTTTGGGGAAAGTCCCTACCTACACATACATATATATAAGCCGAAAAAACCCCGGCGGCGACTGCGTTGTTAGAACGTGTGAAGTGCTTTCTTTGCATACTTTTGTGCGTTGTGTTGCCGGCGTTTGTTGGCGATGCTCCTGCCACTTGTTGTTGTGCCAGTCCCTCTGTGTGTGTGTGTGTATTGCGACTTATGCAACAAGTGCGCTAGTTTGTTGTTGTATAACGATGTTACAAAGTCAACACACAAACGTCTGCCACGTCGTCATCAGTGTCGTGGTAGTAGCATGTTTTGGTCTTGTTCGGTTGCTCCTTTGACTTTTGCCTCGAACATGTGTTTGTCTGTGTTTCCCTCTCGTGGAAAGTTTGAGTTTTCTTTACCCCCTCCCAAAAAAAAAAAATGGGAAGCAGACGATATTTCTTATACACCTTGGCTTGTTTTCTTTTTGGGGGTATTGTGCATATTTTAAGAGCATTCTGCCAAGTGTTTCTGCACAATCTGTCAACGAGTCGAGTTGTGTAAGTTTTCCTCTTGCAGGTTTTTCCTTTTTGGGGGCTCTTGGATTTTTCGTTTGCCCTTTCTCTCAATGTGTCGTTTGTTGTGTAAATTGCCACCTAAATGGCTTTTATGGTTTTGTAAGTTCACAAGGAAAGTTTTGAGGGAATTAATAGATTTGCATATGTGTGCGTGTGGCTGTGTTGAAAGGTAAACTATTTCCCTTTGGGAGAGTTTTTGGGTAAATTGTTATTGTGGTAAGTTAGCTGGCAGGAAATTGTTTATATGAGTGTGATAATGGAATTATGGAAAACTCAAGCTTGAGGAAGGAAGTTGGTGAAGATAGTTTGGGTTTTCACTTGGAAAATTTAAGTCTATGTAGGTAAAGAATATTAAGAATATTAATAGGAATAGAAAGACTGTGATATATGTACAAGAGCATACATCTTTTTTAGGCAATTAAACTATTTTTAGAAAGTATTTTTGGTTGAAACTTAAAATGTTTAATTATTATTCAGTTTCTCAGTCAGTTTTTCTGAGTTTACCCTTTCAAAATGGAAGTAAAAAGTTTATGATTCCATTTAAGCATAACCTATCATTGGTAATGTTTATAGTTCATTATTTTATATACATTTCCCTCCAATTATATAATTTTTCATCTAGTCCAATCAATATTCTTCTAATGACTAAAAAAACGAATTTTTATAAACCTTTCCCCTCAACTCACCTGCCCATAACGCGACA